AAGCCTTGGAGGGAAGAAAAAGCTAACTCAGACACAAAGCAAGCATCGTGTGCTGTATCCGGAATCTAGGTTTTGAAATACACATTTTGAAGAGTTGCAAGCCGCATAGGGGACGGGCACAAGCCTTGGAGGGAAGAAAAAGCTAACTCAGACACAAAGCAAGCATCGTCTGCTATATCCGGAATCTAGGTTTTGAAATACACATTTTGAAGAGTTACAAGCCGGATATAAGACTACTTGCGATATTATGCTCCTTGTGAGGAACTAGGGACCAGAGAGGCAGGTATTGAGAAACAAGGGCGAACCAGTACACTCGCTACACAAAACGCCAACAGGATGTTAGTAATACTCAATGGAGGAAATAAAAGCATTCAAAGAAACAGTCTTTCTAAAAGCATTAATACTAATTTCCCTCGGCGATTTCCTTAAGAGGTGCAGATCCATTCACTGGACGGCAAGCACATGACGCCCCAAGGCCCACGCCAGGCGTGTCACCAGCATCCAAGGGCCGGGGTTCCAGATGCCCTTTTCCTCTACAACTACGGAGAGCAAGGATCCCGAAGGCCCCGCTCCCGTCCACCCCGTGCTGTCTCTCACGTTGGCTCTAAGATGGCTGCCGCAGTGCCCACAACCGAGCGCCCTGACCTAAAAGGTCCAGGTTCCCTTCCCAGGTCCTTTTCGCCTGCCGACCCCATGTTCGGATCCCTTCCTTCTCCCCCATAGGCCCCAGAAATGAAAGGAAAGCCCAGCAGAGAAGACCTCCACTCACCATGTCGGGGAGAGAAGAAGAGAAGAGAAGAGAAGAGAGGAGAGGGCCACGCTCCTCTCAACCTGGCTGGTCCCACAGGAAAAGGAAAGACCTATCACCTTGACGCACATCCTGCCCCTCCCCCAAACCAACTCGGACAACCAAGATATCTCTTTATTAGGCTGAAAAAATCTGAAGGAGTCATATTATTACTTTCCGTGTGTTAAAATAGGTATCTAATTTTTTTCTAAAGCTAAAAAGACTGTTTAGAACACAGGGACTCTTTTTCACGGAATAATTCCACTCACCCTCTGGAGTTGGGGTTTTTTGCCCCCCCCCCCCCCCCCCCCCCCCCCCCCTGAGTCACAACCTCTATTTTAACTTTTTTCTCCTACATGACCGAAATGGGGGTCTACTAGGATCGTAAATGCCACTGGATGCACTAATAAATTAGAACGATGTGTGTTAGCGTTGGATAAAAAGGAACTTAATGTTGTGAAGCAGTTCCGGCGGGGCGGAGTCCTGTCTTCTGATGTCGGCGTCGGGGCGTGCAGTTCAGTTTTAGCTGCTCCGGAATAGGACGCCCAGGTGGGATATGGGCGCGTATGAACCACGCGGCTGAGGAGTTTTATGTTCATCTTCTGG